GGAGGAGTAGTAGTAGTAGTAGTCCTACTCGTCCTAGTGCTACTGGCAGTCATCGTCGTTTTGGTGGTTGTGTGGTAGTGATAGCGGTAGTGGTAGAGGAGGATGAGAAGGAGGAGGACGAGGAGGAGGAGGAGGCGGAGGAGGAGGAGGAGGGGAGGCGGAGGAGGAGGAATAGAAGCATCAGCAGTAGCAGCAGCGACAGGACCAATCGCAGCAGAGAGTGTCGGCAAGGATGGAAGAGCAGCACGACCCACAACTGCAAACCTGTTAATTACTGTGCCAGTTGAGTGCACTTATCCAGGAATTGTGGCTTCGGTGGAGCTTTCGGGGTGCTCGTTTTCTTGGGGATTTTCCAGAAGTTCTGCCGGCTAGCGGAAGTCTGAACAAGCAGACCCCCAAACAGGCCCCAGGCACTATAATCAGGAATGGCCTTGTGGCACAGGCAGAGGCGCATGGTGAGGTTAACGTGAACCCTGCGCTGACGAATGCGTGGACCTGAGCTTGCCGCGGCGCGAGAAGCAGACGGTCCGGTTTGCACATGAAAGACTAAGACTACAACGCCTATTGTGACCATTTCATGTTTGCTACATTAGTATCATGTCTAACATGATCTAACAATACTTTTTCTGTTAAGCTGCGCTTAGTGGTTCGAGTTAGCAGCCATGCGCCACCGAGGTCTCCCACTCCATCCGACATCTCTCCTTCGGGATGCAGGACTGGTCTAGGGTTCAGGGTTTAGGGGTTTAGGGATTGGGGGGTTTAGGGTTTAGGGTGTAGGATGAGACCCCGCTGTTCCAGGTTGGTAACGTTGGGATTGTTGAGAGGTTGGAGACTTGCTCAGGATCCTGCTGTTGTTGGTGCACATGGGAACCGCACCTCAAACAACGCTAGATCAGTTCCTCTTGCGTGCCCGAAGTGTGCGAGCCTTGATCAAAGCTGCATCAACAATTCTTGAAGACCGACAGGTGTAGGTTTACGGGTTCTGAGTGTGTATGTGGCGAGCCTAGTCCTCCACCATCACAATGCTTGAGCAGCAACTCAGAACCAGCTCAGTGCACGTTGGGAAGGGCCGGGAGGCCCCTGTTCTGGTAGAGACTTAGCGGCCTGCACGACCTGTTTGACACTTTCTGCTGTCCATAACTGCAGCCAAAGGTGTTTGTGCCCTCCTTCTAGCTGTGCCGGTGAGCAGCTTGCCGTGGTCCGTGGTGTCCTGACCCTCGAAGCCGTGAAGCATACATCATCAAGCACTTCAGTCTGAGCTCGGAAGTCAAACTATCTAGACTCTAGTCTCTTTAATCTGTAGACATACGAAAACAGTACCTAAGATTGGCACAAGTTGTCCCGTAGCCAGGATGCAAAGGGCTGGGCAGAGAGGCCAGTGGGTTGTTCGAGCATCTGCTGGCGTCGTTAAGCAGCTGCCGTAGCCCATTCAGGGAGTCAGACAGCATTTGGGCCTGGCAGGCAGTTCAGATACCTCCAGATGGACAGTTACCTGCTTTGGTAGACAAGCCTTGACGTCAGGCCTCAGGTTCAGTGCCTCGAAGCCGTTTGCTAGGGTTTCTGGCTATTATGACCATCAATTCCGTTGTCATGGTCAGACTGCTATCGTGTCGATTCCTAAGTCGAAGCTTGATCGACTCGGGTACAGGGTATTTGCAGGCAGGAGCTTTCCATTTCGTCCGCCAGGGTGCGTTAGGGTCTCAAGCTGGGGCAGGACGTTTCTTTGCTTGGGCTTTCAGCCTCAACTTAGGGTTGAACGCCTGCGGCAGTCTGCTGAACGCATTGGCAAGGCAGTCCGTCCCGCGGGAGATGATCCAGCACATCCAACCTTTAGCCTCTCCCTAAGCAAGGGTTCATGTGCGCCCACGCGATGCAATTTCACATGAAGTCATAAGGGTAGCGGGGGCTCAGTCTGGCAAGCATGAAGCGGGTGAGTTTGTGCCTGTCCTCAAAGCAGTCTCTGCCTGGAAAGCCCAGAACAGCAAGAGAGGACTAGTTGGTCAGCCGTATGCTCCATCTGCCCTGCCCCAAACCGAGTCACTTGAACACTCGTGGGCCGTCTCCCTATACTAGGATGACAAGACCTTCATCGTGGAGCGCTTCCACGAAGCGCCCCAGCACTACCTGAAGGTCGGATTCTGCTTCGGCTGCCTCTACATGACAAGCATGCTACTATGAATCACAAGGCAGATAACAGTGGAACATTATTAGCAGTGGTGGTAGCAGTCGTCGTCGTTAAGTAGTAGTAGTAGTAGTAGTAGTAGTAGTAGTAGTAACTGCGATGATCAGAGGCAGCGGGGGGTTTTATGCATCTAGTACTGCTACGACGGCACCAGTTTACAGACTAATGTGTGATAGCTGCATATCTTTGGATGAGCAATCAATAGTCATCATGACTGCCAACCTCATCAAACTATGACGAGGGGTGCTGTCAGTGTGGCTAATTGCCCCACTTATTCTGGCACTTGGGCGGAGTCTGGCATTCAATGCTCCATCTAGCCGGACTTTGAATGCTTCAGCTTTGAGGTTGTATGTGTGTTTTAGGGTTTGGTGTAATTTTTGCAGTTTGAGTGCCGGGCTGAGAATCCGTGTGTCTGCTACATGCAGGCCGCAACTCCACATCCCGTGTCGAAAAGGGTGTTACGAACCGCTTCGGAGTAAAGTCGTAAGGGCTCCTGATTCTGCCCGGAGCTTCAGAAAATTAGGGTCTGATGTATCCAACTTCGAGGGAAGAGTTCATGCCTTTTTGTCTACAAGCGGTCTCAATCCTTAGCCACAAATCTTCGAGGCTCCCAAGGCATGAAGCTTAATCCTCCAGACTTCTGCAAGCCTCCACTGTCCGGTGTCTCTGGATTAGTACAATGAACAAGTCGATGTGATTTAAGACTGCAGTTGTTGTTCTGCATTACTGTTGTCCTGACTACCACTTC